TCCTCTTGGTCTGTTTGGTCTTTGTTTCTCCTCTTGGTCTGTTTGGTCTTTGTTTCTCCTCTTGGTCTGTGTGGTCTTTGTTTTTCCTCTTGGTCTGTTTGGTTTTCGATTTTCCTCTTGGTTCTTTGGTCAATTGATCTTGTCGTTTGGTAGGCCTGATACTTTTTGAATAAAAATAAGACGTTGTGACTGAACATGTGAAGGTCATTTTCTTCTTCATGAAGCCCCTGTCTCGAGTGGGCTGACCTTCGGTCTGGCACCTGTTGGCTCTGGCAGAACACCTGAGTTCAGTCTGAGCTGGTTCAGGTGGGGCCAGTCTTACTTCTGCTTCTGCTAGGGAGCAGCCTCGCTTAGACCCAGCGTTGGCCACAAAAGCCTGAGTGCCTGGCCAGAGTCCCTTCCCCTCTCAGCCTGGGAGCTGACTTGGCTTCACTTCATGTTGGCGGTCAGTCCCCAAGACCACTGAAATCTCTCTCCATTTTCCCAACCTCTTGTCTGTGACCTGTGAACTGCAAATGCCTCAGGAAGAAAATCCAAGAAAGTAGTGGTCCCTGCTGTGCCCCCTGTGATGGGTGATGGGGACTTGGTCCCTCAGGCTCAGCTCCTGGTGGGTCCTCTGTCCCTCCAGTGGAGATTGCATTTGTTAACCAGGGTCCTCATTTTTCTCAGACAGATGGTCAGTCTGATAAGAGCCCACTCCCCCCATGAAGAAGCAGAACTCGACAGAGCATTTTATATGGTCTAAGGAAAAGTGTGAAACTGGGCCACAGGGGGATGGTAGGAAAAGCAGGTGCCCAGGACAGCGGGTGGCAGGGAAATGGAGAGGCGGCCCAAGGAGGGCTAATGCCAACGGGCAGTCCTGGCTCTGCAGGTTCAGAACCTGGACCCGCAGCCCAGGAGGCTGCCTGGTGCCCCAGCAGGGAGGGCACAGCCCACCATCCTGGCCTGGGGATGGAGGCCTGCTGCCCCCAGGCACAGGGACGGGGTAGACAGGGCCACAGGGAGGAGGCAAGGAGAGGTGGAGGGATGAGGACCTGCGCAGGGCTCAGGGCAGGCTCAGGCTGTCCAGCTCCACACAGCCGTGAGGCCCCAGGCAGGGCACAAGGCGCCCTGGACTCTGGGTGCTCAGTACAGGTGCCTAGCGTCCTGCAGTGATGACGAGCCCTGGGGAGGGGTGTGAGTCACAGGTGACACCTCTGTGCCCAGGCTTCCCTCCAAGGGAGACAGGCCCAGAAGCTGCTGTCCAGTGGCTGGAGGGTGCCCCAGCAGCCCAGGGTGGCCAGGCTCCTCCCACACACAACACCCCAGCACTCACTGCTCCCGGAACCCACTCCCGCTCCAGGGCCCCGACGCTGGCAGGACATTAACGAGCTGGACAGCCTCCCAGGTAAACAAGCATCCCTGTGACGGCCAGGAGCCGGCCCAGCAACACAGAAGGAGAGGCTGTGGGCTGGGCACCACAGGGACCAGGCAGGTATAAAAGCCAGAGCCCAGAGCTCCCCACACACACCCACACTCACCCACACACCCACCCACACACCCACCCACCCTCCTCCAGCACACCCACCATGGCCGCCTCCACCATGTCCGTCTGCTCCAGCTCTTGCCCAGAGTCCTCCTGGCAGGTGGACGACTGCCCAGAGAGCTGCTGCGAGCCCCCCTGCTGCGAGCCCAGCTGCTGCCAGCCCAGCTGCTGCCAGCCCAGCTGCTGCCAACCCAGCTGCTGTGCCCCAGCCCCCTGCCTGTCCCTCCTCTGCACCCCAGTGAGCTGTGTGTCCAGACCCTGCTGCCAATCAGTCTGCATCAGCTCCTGCACCCCCTCCTGCTGCCAGCAGTCTAGCTGCCAGTCTGATTGCTGCAGCTGCTCCCCCTGCCAGCCGTCCTGCTGTGTGTCCCTCTGCTGCAAGCCCGTGTGCTGCAAGCCAGTCTGCTGCAAGCCTGTGTGCTGTGTGCCTGTCTGCTCTGAGGCTTCCTCCTCCTGCTGCCAGCAGTCTAGCTGTGAGCCCTCTTGCTGCTCCTCTTCCCCCTGCCAGCAGTCCTGCTGTGAGCCCTCTTGCTGCTCATCCTCTCCCTGCCAGCAGTCCTGCTGTGTGTCCCTCTGTTGCAAGCCCGTCTGCTGCAAGCCTGTCTGCTGCAAGCCCGTGTGCTGTGTGCCCGTCTGCTCTGGAGCCTCCTCCTCCTGCTGCCAGCAGTCTAGCTGCCAGTCTGACTGCTGCAGCTCCTCCCCCTGCCAGCCGACCTGCTGCGTGCCCATCTGCTGCAAGCCCGTCTGCTGCTACAGACCCTCCTCCTGCGTGTCCCTGCTCTGCCGCCCCGTGTACAGGCCCGCCTGCTGCGAGCCAGTCTCCTCCTGCTGTGCCTCCTCCTGCCAGCCCAGCTGCTGCCGCCCGACCTCCTGCATGTCCCTGCTCTGCCGCCCCACCTGCTACCGCCCAGCCTGCTGTGGTGTCTCCTTGGGCCAGAGGTCCTGCTGCTGACCGGCCATGTCCCCAGGCCAGTGGGCTCAGGCCTATCCCACAGCTGGTCCCCTCACAGCTCCCCCAGTGTGCTCCTGAGCAGGGTTAGGTGACTGGGCACCCCCTAGGACAGTCTTCCCTATGTCCACTATGCTGACCTTCCTCTCCCTCCTGCCTCCCACAAGCCCGCCTGTCTTCGTGCCACCTGCCCTGTCTACCACCTGTCATCTTCTCAGGGCTCAATAAACTCACTCTGATCACCTGACTTCCCTTCCTCTCTTGCTTGGGGGGACACAGGGTGGGAGCAGACCTCATTCTCCTCCAGCCAGGAGCATTTCTAGGCGTGAGTGACTTGGCCTGGAGATCATGAGGGTCAGTGCCCATGTCCCCTGGGTGGTTCACTGGTGGCACTCAGGGCTAGGCCCAGGAGGACTCAGTCCCTGCCAGCCCTGAGCCCAGGTGAGAACTGGTGGGTGCAGCTTCTGTCTCTCTCCCCTGGTTGAGGATGGGCCCTTCACCCAGTGCCCCCCGCCCTGTGTGGCTCGCTCACATGCTGGCGGTCACTCGAAGGATTGCTTTCATCGCTTGTCACTTGGGGCTTCCAAGCATCCTCTCTCTGGGTCCCTGGTTGGCTGCTTCTACTGTGGACGTGCCAGGAACCAGGTGTCCCCTCTGCTCTCAGCACTGTCAGATGTAAGAGGACCAAGCCAGGACAGTAGATTCTGCTAAACAGGACACTAATTTAAAGCTGAAGACCTCAGAAAGCTTTTCACTTCTGTAAAACGCAGGTGCATGGGATCGGCTTAAGGCTTGACAGGGGCAAGTTCTTGCTAAAAATAGATTAGTATATACACACTTATGCACACACTCTGTTTTCCTATCTGAGTCACCTTTCAGGTTTAATCACCTTAATTATGCTAGGCTAAGCCATAGGAATCTCAGTTGCAGATGAGTATAATTCAGAATACATTGTTCTCAAGTGACCCAAGTTGGAGGGGAAGGTTCAGAGTTCTGAGGTCACCACCGCGGAAGGCACTGTCCTTGCTTTCCTGCTGAATGCACATAAGGCAATCCGCCCTCCGAAGGGTCACATGCACGCAGTTCAATTCCGGGGCATTGATTTCGTGAGCACTAGAACGGGGCATCAGCACCACCCACCTCCCAAGCTTTTCTTCTGGCAAAACCCAACCCTTATCCCACTTTAAATGCTGGCCCCTGCTTCCTGCTTCCCATCTCCATGAGCCGGCCCCTCAAGGTGCCTCATGCAAATGGAGCTCCTGACACCTGTCCTGTGCCTGGCTTCTGTCGCTCAGCAGGAGTCCTCAGGACGCCTCCCAGTGCAGCTTGTCAGAATCCCCTCTAGTCTAAGGCACGTGGCACGCCACCGTGGGCTCTTCACTCACCTGTGGGCCTCACTGACCTTATGGCCACTGTGAATACTGCCGCCACAACGTGGGTGTAGGACACCTGTATCAACTCTTCAGAGTACTGCTGGGTGGGACAGCAGTGCTGCCAGGCATCTAGGACCCCGCAGGCTGCTCTCCGCCTAGCACTCTGTTCTTACCAACAGGCTGGAGGGTTCCAGTGTCCCCACCTCCTCACCAACAGGAGCTGTATTTTGATAGTAGTATCCTAATGCCCAGGAGGCATACTTTGGTTTTATCTCACCCAGTAATCCTGGCGGAGGCCCTGCACGGGTCATCAGTCCCACCCCTCTCCCGGGCCGCTGAGCCCTCCTAGGTCC